TTCCTCCTCCCTCCCTCCCTCCCTCCCTCCCTCCCTCCCTCCCTCCCTCCCTCCCTCCCTCCCTCCCTCCCTCCCTCCCTCCCTCCCTCCCTCCCTCCCTCCCTCCCTCCCTCTCCCCGTCTCCTCTCCCTCCTGCAGTCACCTCGAAGTGTTCAGCGTCAGCCATGGTAGAGGCCGACGAGGTTGTTTACTCAACATACAAATTATTTATACTCAACTTGGCCGAATGCTCCGAGGCGGACTGACCCTCAACAATCGGTGAGTCACTTCCGAGTCAGTCCGAGCCACCCGGTCGGCTGTTCCGGGCCCGGGCCCCGGCCCGGCAGTTGGAATGGATACACGATACAAGTCTGGTGACGCCTTTTAAAACGGTCAGAGGATTAAGACTTTCTGGTGTAATCTTTCTATTTAATTTGAAACTTACTTACTTTAATTTACAACTGAAATTATGAAGCGATACAGCATCCCTGCATATTTCCCCTTCCAACATATGTATTTTCATTAATTAAAATAAAGTTTTAATTGTCAGCCCCTTCCTCCTTTTGAAGAAGATTCTTTTCGATGTATCGTATTTAGTGCTCGGACACCACCTCCAATCACGATGGGTGGGGTGGGTTAATGTTGCACGGGTGGATGTTCTATCAACAATACTCGGTAGGGGTAATATTTCAGTATAAAGGAGGGGTCATAAGTATGTAGGTTGAGAGTAGGGTGGGCGATGATAGGCAAAAGACCAAATCGAGGGTGGGTGGTGTAAGAACGCGGAAAGCGCAAGCAATGTTACAAGGGGGGGACTGAAGAGGAGTATGAGAGGAGGGGCAGAGGGGAGGGAGGGCGAAGAGGATAGGAGAAGGGCAGGAGGCGAAGGCCAGGAGAAACTAAGATGTCGGAGGGTAGGGGGAGGCCTTTCAGTCAGAACTTGTGCGAGAGAAAAGCACGGGATCGTTAGAAAAGGGAACCTGTTGAAGAGAGCATGAAAATCTTCGGTGTGCTTTCCTCGTTTTGAGAATTTTCAATAGGCGGGAGTGGGAGAAAATCTTCTTGTATGAGACGAAGTCGCTGCAAAAGTCAACAGTGTATAGTGTGAGGGTTCGATTGCCCCATCAACCTTTTCTTTCTTCCTCTGCTCTCGTGACCGCAATGTCGTCGCTAATCAGATTCCTGCTGTTCCTTCTCTTGGTGTTCCCGCATCAAACAGAACAAGGGATGCTAGGAGCCTTGCTGTCTAAGATTGATCAAGCTCAGCTCGAGGCCTACGACGCGATGCGCGTGGCCCTCCTGCGGGTGGGGCAGATGTCAAGGGTGGGCATGAGGGAGAAGAACATCTCCTTGCTTGTTGGAGACACCTCAGTGATCAGGATGCTTGAAGTACATGGCAGCAGTAGCGCCACCAAACAACGAGTCGAGTACGACACCTTCCACTTCATCGTTCAAGAAATCATCGACGAGGCGCAGGTATCCTGCACTCAATCGAACAGCTCGCTACTGGGCTTCCTCGGCCCAACCAGGAGCTCTGACGTTTACCTGATGAGAGACTACGAGGTGAGTCACAACAGTCAAAAGCTCACGATGAGCTTCAGCGCCACCAGCTCGAAACTGTCCAACAAAACCGCGTTCCCCTACTTCTCCCGCGTCTGCCCCTCCGACTCCCTCCAGTCTCAAGCTCTCTCCGACCTCTTCGTCCAGCTGCAATGGACCGCGTGCCACATCATCGCCTGCCCCGACAGCTACTGCCAGGGGCTGGCTCAGGGCTTCAAGGAGCAGGCGGCAAGCAAGGGCGTGGCGGTGGAGTCGATGAACGTGTGGGAGTTCAACAACCCGGACGCGACGCGGAGCTTGCTCAATGACCTGACGTCCAAGTGCGGGGTGACGAGGATCGCGGTGCTGTGTCTGCACACGGAGCAAGGGCTGGAGGTGTTCCAGGCGGCGACGTCACTGGGGATCTCGGAGAGGATGGTGTGGGTAGGCAGCGAGTCTGTGAGTACGCTGCCGGCGAGCGAGCTACCGAGGGAGTACGTGGGGCTGAGGGTGGGGCTGGACCCGAGCAGCAGGGCGTTCGAGGATCTTGTGAGCTTCTGGAGCCAGCAAGACCCCAGCAGCTTCCCGGGGAGGAAGAAGCTGATAGACAACCCGGTGATCGCGCTGGCACATGACGCGGTGATGGCGTACGGGGAGACGTTCGACCGGATGATCAGAGAGGGGAAGGACGTGTACAAGGTGGAGGAGCTGAAGGCGAGCCTAGAGAAGGTTTCGTTCGAGGGAGCGACGGGGCTGATCGAGTTCGACAAGCAGCTTGACAGGAAAAATGCATGGTGAGGAGAAGAGGAGTTGGATGCGATCTGACGTTGGTTCAGGTATGATGTTGTTTACTTGTCTTGTCTTGTCTTGTCTTGTCTTGTCTTTCTTGTCGTGTCTTGTCTTGTCTTGTCTGACGGCAGGCAGGTACGATATCATTCATACATACAACAACTCGACCAGCGTGCTGACTTACTGGACGCCTGATGGGATGAACTCTGCATCGAACCTGTCAAATTTCAGAGAGGTGATGGGAACCTCGCTCCAGCTTCCCTGCTCCAAGAAACTCAGTCAGAGCGTCATCATCGTCTCCGTCATCCTCCCCCTCGCCTTCGTGTTGACGTTCCTCACCTGCTGCATCTGGCTGGGCCTGCGAGCGAGGAGAGACAAGTACTGGACCATCAACATGTCAGAGATCGAGTTTCCCGCGGACGGAGGAGTCATCGGACGAGGAGTGTTTGGGGAGGTGATGAAGGCTCAGTACCGAGGGACGACTGTAGCTGTCAAGCGAGCGCTGCCCCAAGTCGACCTGCCGGACGGCATTTCCTCGACCTCCTCGACCTCCTCCCTCGATGAGACTGCCGTCTACAAGTCCAACTTCCCGGATGCGAAGGCGCGAAACAGCCCTTCATCCTCCATCTCCGCCATGATGGGGCTCAGTGTGTCCTCGGCACTGACCAGGAGGAGATCGTCCAACGAATCGCTCTCCTCCTCTACTCTCCGCGCCGCCTTCGTGGAAGAGATGCGGAAGCTCTCTCGTCTGCGGCATCCTTGCATCACGACGGTGATGGGCGCGGTGAAGGGAAACAAGAAGTCGGGCCCGATGCTGGTCATGGAGTACATGGAGTTCGGCTCGCTGCATGATATCATTCACAACGAGACCTTCACCATGGACTGCGACATCGTGCTGGAGATCCTGCTGGACATCGTGGAGGGGATGAACTTTCTTCACTCCTCCATCCCCGTCATCCTCCACGGCGACCTCAAGTCGCACAACATCCTCGTCGACAAGAACCTCCGCGCTAAGGTCGCGGACTTCGGCTTCACCCAGAAGAAGTCTCTTGGCCTCTACTCTACCAGCTGGATGGCCCCCGAGGTCCTGCGGTACCGCATGCGCGGGCCGGAGGCAGACGTCTACTCGTTCGCCATCCTCATGTCAGAGATCTTCAGCAGGCGCGAGCCCTACGAGGGGGAGGACCTCCAGCTCGTGCTCGAGCAGGTCGCTGACATCAGCAGGCTGGAGGACAAGAGGCCAGCTGTGCCCCAGGACATGCCCAAGGAGCTGAGGGGCCTGATGGAAGAGTGCTGGCACAGGACCCCCGACGTTCGCCCTCCCTTTAGCGAGATCCAGAGGCGGGTCAAGGCCCTGATCATCGTCTACAACCCACGACGACTGAACACCAGCTTCAGCTGGAAGAAGGAGTACTTCCAGCTGAACAGAGACGCGAGCAGAGCAGACGTCCTTCTCACGCAGATGTTCCCAGCTCACGTGGCGGACGCGCTCAAGAGGGGAGAGAAGGTGAAGCCTGAGGAGAAGGAGAACGTGACGATCTTCTTCTCCGACATCGTCAACTTCACTTCCATCAGCTCCCGCGTCTCTGCCGACAAGATCTCCCATATGCTCAACACCCTCTACACCGCCTTCGACGCCCTGGTCGAGAAGCACGGCATCTACAAGCTCGAGACCATCGGCGACGCCTACATGGCTGCTGCCAACCTCGTGCTGCCGCAGGAGGAGGACCATGCGCTGAGGGTCGCAGGCTTCGCTCTAGATGCCGTGGAGGCAGCCAGTAACATCCTCCTCGACGATGATCAGCCGCAGCTGGGCACAGTGACGCTGCGAGTTGGGATACACAGCGGGCCAGTGGTGGCGAGTCTGATCGGAACTCAGAAGCTCAAGTACACCTTGTTCGGAGACACGATGAACGTCTCCTCGAGGATGGAGTCCTCGTCCCTGCCCGGGAAAATCCAATGCTCTAAGGTGACGATTCTTGTCCTCCCCCTCTCGTTCTTCTTCGTCCCTCTCTCCTTCTCACCTCTCGCTCTCGTTTCACCCATATCTCACATCTCCTCACCTTATCATCAAATCTTCCTCGTTCCTGATTCCTCGCTCGCTCGCGCGCTCCCTCCCTCTCTCCCTCTCTCTCTCTCCCTCCCTCTCTCCCTCCCTCCCTCCCTCCCTCTCTCTTTCTGTCTCTCCCTCTCTCTCTCTCTCCCTCCCTCCCTCCCTCCCTCTCTCCCTCCCTCTCTCCCTCTCTCTCTCCCTCTCTCCCTCCCTCCCTCCCTCCCTCCCTCTCTTCCTCCTCTCTCCCTCCCTCTCTCCCTCCCTCCCTCCCTCTCTCCCTCCCTCTGCTTCGGCTGGTGTGGCTCACTTTCTCTCGCAGGCCACTGCAGAGCTCATCACTCGCCAGAGGGGGGCAGACTCGCACATCATCGTTACCGAGAGAGGAGAAATTCCCATCAAGGGCAAGGGCATCATGACCACCTACTGGGTGACCTCTTCATCCCCAGCTTCCTCTTCCCCTCCCACATCCATCACCCCTCCCTCTCTGCCCCCCTCCCTCCCTCCGGTGCTCGAGAACTCTCTGCAAGACATCGAGATCAAAGTTGGCGAGGGAGAGGTCAGCGTGAGCATCCGGGAGTGAAGGAGGACATTGAAGAAGGATATTGTTTGCATGTAAAATACAAGGTAGATGTACATCACAGCTGAATTACCGCGAGCGTTGAGGGCGAGGACGGGGCATGGGCAGTGAATGACATACGGCAGGACATACGGGGCAAGAGGGAGGGAGGGAAGGAGAATTGAAGGGAGGAAAGATACAGAGAAGCAGAGGACGCAAAAGACGAAGGGATTCCCCATAGAGAGGCAATGGCAGTAGCCTCTAGAGCAAACGAGCTCGTTTCAACGTGTAGGTGTTGGACGAAGACGAGGCAAGCAGTTGAGGTCAGAGTGGTGGAGGGTGACGACGAAGAGCACGAGGGAGGGAGGGAGGGAGGGAGGGAGGGAGGGAGGGAGGGAGGGAGGGAGGGAGGGAGGGAGGGAGGGGATTGCGAGGATCTTCCGACATCGTAGAGCAAGGTTTCGGAAGACAAGAATATCAAATATGGCAGCGAAATGTTTGTACCCACTATTTGGATGCTTTTTGAAGGTACATTTGAAAATTTCTCTAATATTTCTATCTCAAAAACATATTTTTTTCAAAATCTCAAGATTTTCAGGACCCACGAATGAAATTTTGTTTGGAAATGTTCGTGGGAAAGGGTTTGTGGATGAGCAAGAAAGGGGTGGGGTGGGGTCATGGATGGAAAAGAAGGGGTCCTTTGAGTTTGTTTTAGGTACTTGCCCAAGACATGCCATTCCAACTCTGAAAGGGTAGGGTATTTGAAGGTTTATAGTACCGGTATCTTAGCAAGGTCGGTATGGGCATTAAGATGGGGTGGGGTAGATCGTTTTTATAGGCTGGTCGGTAGGGTACTCGTTTGAAACAGCGCGGGAAGATGGCGAAAGGAGGACATGGAAGGGGAGGGCGAACATGAGGAATGAAGACGAGAACGGAAAGTGCTGGTGTGAAGTCAGTACGAGAGAAGGAAAGAGAGCAGGAGAGGAAGTTGAACCAGAAAGATCGAGAAGCATGCACGGGACGAGTAGCATATGATTGCAAAGCAAGAAACCTGCCAAGTTTTGAGTCAAGACGATTTGTGACTGATTCGGCCTTTCTTTATCTGCTGAGAAATGAGAATTTTTGAAGCATGCCACCAGTTGTGTGATGTACTGTGGAGCGCATAAAGGATAGAGGCGTTTGTTTTCAGGAAGCAGATCTAGGTGGATAGGCGAGGAACCTAGTGTTCAATTGATGAGCGTTGTAAGTATATAAGAAGCTGAATAGATGGGACAGGTTGAAGGGATGAGTCTGACAACCACCAAGAAGAACGAAGCGTTTCAATCCACTCCTCTCCGCGATGCCGAGCTGCTCTCGGTCCCAGGGGTTGGCCCTGTGTCAGGTGGGGAGGCTAGTGTCATGCGATGGTTCGAGTGACACGACTGCAGCGGACAAGCTGAAGGAGGCGAACATCGACACCGCAGAGAAGCTGATGGGCAACTTCATGGTGATGGGGAGAAGCGAGGAGAAGATGGCCAAGTGGCTCGAGGATGTGTGCGAGGTGAGGTCCGTGGAGGCCAAGAAGATCTCGGCAGCGCTGGTAGAGAAGGGCGACAAGATCTGCTCTATGTAGTCTGCATGCTCCTCGTATGTGATGTTAATTCACCGACAAGTGAGCCTCCTGTGTCTACTGCAACCCCACCACGAGTGAGCCGAGCTCATGTCGCAACTAGATGTTGAAGTCTGCTCCGATCATGATGTGGTCCGAGGGTTCCTGGTCGTTGGGGAGAGGTCCACTTACTTCCTGCCTGCTCACGCGTGAGGAGGTCGCCAGACTCTACCGCGTTGACTTGTGGGTACCTGCGAGGCAGCGGTAGACAGCCGACTACCTTCATCCCCGGCCTGCCTGCATCTCAGTTGCTCATCCTTTGCTTCAAGGAGATCACCTGCAGAAGATGTAGTCGATGGTCTCTATGAAAGGAGGATCCTCGAAAATCTGCACAAAGCAGTGGGAGAGGGCAAACGAGGGTAAGAGAGATGCAAAAGGAGGATAGCATGGAGGATGAGAGATCGGGGCTGAGGAACACCTGAGCGTAGTTTGTGAAGTCTGGTTCTGAGCCCTAACAAGTCGATTAAGGAGAGTTGATCGTATTCGCTCAGTTTACGTGGAAGGACGAGTAGACGCTCTCCATCCTCTCCTCGAGTTGCGGAGCCCAAGAGTCTCCAGCTCGGTCAGGAGGGAAGTCAGGATGCGACGCTTCGAGTCGGCCTGAAAAGGAGGATGATATTCCTCTCCTGGTACAGGAGCAGGGGCGAGGGCAGGTGCAGAACTCAAAGAGGGGCAGGGATACAATTAAACTTGTAACGACAAGGTCGTGGATGTGAAAAGAAGGGCCCTGAGGTAGAAGCTGAAGAGAATGGAGAAACGAGGAGGTTGTGGTTCTGGGGAGCTTACCAGACGTTAAGAGGCGATAAGCAGCAGATTGGGGCTGAATGTTGAAATCCCCAGCAAACACCTTCAAAGTATCATCAGAAAGGGATAGGGGACTTGAATCCATCACGTAGGGATCTGCTCCTGACAAGCTTTGAACGTGCCGAGCAGCTAGTGCGCTGCGACAAGCGCACATTGATTACGAAACGAGAAGAGGAGGAGGGGGTTACCTGTGTATGACCATGACCCGCTGGTCCCAGAAGACGCAGGGCATGTGATAGCTGTAAACCAAGTCAACTAAAACTCTGCCGACACGGCGGCTCACTTGGCAACGCAGAAGGTTTTTGGGGGTTGTTGGGCATCGGACTGAGAATTATCAGGACTGCTGGTTTGCAAATGTAGCTGACCACTTTTCTTGACAGTCGAAGGAAGATGCAAGTGTTCTTCCGCTTTCTCGACACCTCCCACGGGCACTGACAACTCGATCAGTCACGTGAAACACGCATCCTCGCTCATGCTCACTTTATCTCGGGTCGACGACCTCGATGTCCGCAGGAACGGCAGGAAGAAGCCCATCCACGTACTCAGCAACTTGCAGGACGAGTGAGCGACGAGAATGAAGCGCGGAAACTCACTTTGCCGAAGAAAGAAAACACCCGATGAAACCAATGGGTCGATCGAGTGACCTCTTGCACTGCCAGCATCTCACCCCGTGCGTGCCCTTCAGCTCCCTCACCGTTGGGCCACTCCTTCGTGCTCGACACCCTGTGCATATCGACATGAGGAGCGACAGGGTTGGAGGATGAGCCCTTGCCTGCGGATGTCT